GGCATATCCTCAACTCTGCCTACTCTTTCTCTACATATCTGTTCAGATTTTCTGCCTGGCTATACTCTGTTAATCCATTGGCCAAAAGCAGCTTCTTTATTAACTAATGGAAATGAAACATATTGACAACATGCAGAGTGGGAATCCCTCATTAGACAGGAAACAAGGGAACTCTAAGAGATACACACATGGATTTCCCTGGGAAGAGAAAGTAGCAAAGATCTCTTTAGTAACATGGCTGTGGGGGAGGACAGGGGAGGTTGGTATGGGAGTGGGGAGGAGAGGAGGGGAGCAAGGAGGAGAAAGTGAAGGACTGGGAGGGTGAATTGGAGAAGGTCAGAGAGGAAAGGCAAGGAAAGAGATACCTTGAAAGAGGGAGTCATTATGGGGTCAGTAAGAAACCATGTACTAGGGAAATTCTCAGGAATCTACAAGGATGACCCCAGTTAAGAATCTAAGGGATAGTGAAGAGGGTACCTGAAATGTTCTTCCCCTGTAACCAGATTTGCATCATAGAATCTTCATCCAGTATCTGATGCAAGCAGATTCAAAGATCTACAGCTAAGCACTGGACTGAGCTCCTGGAGTCCATTCATAGAGGAGGAAGAATGGTATTATGAGTAAAGGGGCCAAGATCATGATGGAAAAACCCACAGAAATAGCTGACCTGAGCTAGTGGGACCGACAGCTGGGAAACCTGCATAAGACTGTAGTAGAATATGGATGACAGTTATGTGACTTGAGCAGTTTGTGGGGGCACTGGCAGTGGAACCATTATTTATCCCTAGTGCATGCACTGGCTCTTTGGAGTCCATTCCCTATGGAGGGATGCCTTGCCCAGGGATACAAGGGCCAGGGGAGGGCCTTGGTCCTGCTCCAAGTGATGTGACAGATTTTGTTGACTTCCCACGGGAGGTCTCACCCTCTCTGAGAAGTAGATGGGGTGAGGTGGGGAGAAGATGGGGAGCACGGGAGGACAGGAGGGAGAGAAACTGGGACTGGTATGTAAGATAAGATTGTTTTTTAAAACAAAATTAAAACAAGAATGACTATTACACTTATGTTGTAGTGAAGTTAGAAGACTGAGATGTTCATTCCCACTCAGATGTACCTCAGATACCTGGGAATGCAATGCAAGCTCTTCCTCTCTTTGGATGAGATGTCCTGGAGGAGACTATCTTGTCAGTTCTTATACCTTCTGTCTCCAAGCACCAAGGGGCTGAGAAAAAGGCCCTTTCCTTTGAGTTGTGTCTTATCCTTTAAGAGGAGACATTTATACCTCCTTCATTGAAAAGATGGATGAAGAATTTGAAATTCTTGGGAAATGTGTCTGAATGGCAGGGCCTCCATACCTTTCAGGAGTTGAACATTCTTTTCCAGCCTGAGCATGACCAGAGCAGATGTCTGGTGGTATTGTACTGGACTATTACTTGAGATCTTACTGGACAATTGGAATGAGATCTGTGCTTTGGTTCAACTGGCTACTTCTTTCACTATTGCCTATCACCAACCTACCTAAGATTGAACTCAAATGTCTTATTGAAAGGGGAATCTTTTAATTCCTGGAAAGTCATTTGGCACTTGCATTTGAATAAATTCTATCAGAATACTTAAAGGAGTCCCTAAAAAGTTTAAAGAAAAAAAATCAAATAGCAGCACAATTGGAGCCAGTGCTATTCTGGTGGTCTTTCATACATAAAAGTGCAGACTAAACAAATCATATATGTTAAGATCAACAACAATTTGTAAATTGTCTCCAGGATGCTATCAAGGCTATAGCAGATCATTTAGATGTCACCAGTAGAATGGCATGGGATAATAAACTAGACCTAGACATGATGCTAACAAAAAAGAACTCTCTGTCTTGAAAGCTTATCAGTATTGTACTTTCATTCCCAATTATATGGTCCTGATGACACCATTGCAATGGTTTTCCAGGGAATAACTACTTTTCCAATAACTCAGCTCATTTTATTTTATAAATTCAGGAATACATTTATTTAGGAACAAATGATCCTTTATCTAATCTTATGAAATTATGGCTTGGAAAGTGGAAAAGGAAAATGATATTAGTCCTGGAAGTTATGAATACATGTGGGAAATGTAAACAAAATGTGTTGGGTTTTTTTCTACCAAAGGGTGGAATGAAACAAACCACCAAAAATTGTAAATTGAAAAATTTTGAATTCTTCAAGGGTCAGCAATTCACAAAATTAAAATATATACTCAAGGTCATTTCTCCCCAGAAGCTGCATTGTTCTTATACCAAAGATGCTGAGCTCTGACAACTTAGAATGAGTCACAGATCCCTTTGCAGTAGGAGTAAAAATCTATTGGAAATCCTGCTGGGCATGCTTGCTTGCTTGATTTTAGCATGCCCTTCTACAGGAGTAAAATGTCTGACTTTCCAAACTATGTTAGATTGTGTGGTCATTTTCTTGAGACTCCAGATGCATTTTCAGACCTTCTCCTCTCACCCCCTCACACACACCTTCTTACAGCATGTCCAACATAGGGACACTATTCTAGAGGAAGACTGACAAATAGATTTTGCTCCTATGTCCCTATGCAAGGGACTCAGAATTCTGCTAGTTCTAGTGGTTACAGATGGAAACATTTCCCACTGAAGCAGAAAAGACATCAAAGGTAGCTGCTGTCTTCATAGAACACATTATTTCTCACTTTTGGCTCCCCTAGTCCCTTCAGTCTCATAATGGCCATGCAGCCTATAAGAAATGCACCTGATATTTTTTTATCCAAAGTAAACTCTCTCATTTCCTTACAGATGAGGACTGTGTTTTTCATCAGCTGTTTTGGGTGTCCAATGAGGGGATCCAAGGACAACCTATTTTAACTGGAGTTGTTGCTTGAATTAGCACCAGGTACCCCCATATGCTCCTTGTGACCAAACATCTGACATTGCCTTCCCAATTGGCTATGGAAAGTTGTTAAGGGTTCAGACCTCCTTGAACAGTTGGAACAGTATTTTGATCAAAAATAAATTTGCTTAGCCTGTAGATAGAGAAATTATCCACGTACTGTGGGAGGTTGCTCCCAGGGAGAAACTGATCAAGGAGCACAGAGTTTAGTTTCATTTTCTTACTGCAATAAAACCTGACCAAAATCAACTTGGGGAGAGAAGAGATTTTTTTTTGGTTTATACTTCTAAGTCACATTCCATTATCAGGGAAGTTAGGACATGAAGTCAAGCCAGGAACTCAAGGTTGAAACTTGAAGGCAAGAACCATGGAGGAAGGTGGAATGCTGCTTGCTGGGTCACTCTGCTAGCTTTCTTATACAGCCCAAGCCTACTTGCTTTGGGATGGTGCCAACCACAGAAGTCTGGAACCTCCTGCATCAATCAATAAGATAATCCCCCACAGACACGTCCACAAGGCAATTTGATCTAGGCAGGTCCTCAATCCAGGTTCTCCTCTCTGATGATTCCAGGTTGCGTCAAATTGACAACGTTAACTAAGGTAAGTATTTGCCTAAGGCCTATCAAAGAGGTGGGGGCTATTACAAAAGCCCCAGTGTAACACAGTGCAGGAAAGCTGTTGAATAAACTAGATGGAGGTAAAAAGGAATGTAGAATCTTAGTAGATAGAAATCTAAAAGAAAATATCCTTAATGTCTAACACCATGAACAAGGAGGTATTATAGGGTATCTGCTCCAAGAAGGTACAAGGTTTGGAAAACATAGGGTGTGTTAGAACCAGTGCTTAGACCCTGAGCTCTTCTGTAGGATCCATCTGCTTTAAAAAAAACTGACATAGAAGGGGTGTTATACAAAGAGCTACAAGGACTCAGTACCTCAGTAGCCAGGAGTTAATCAGTGAGCAGCAGTAAGCCTTTTAATTCCTTAATACTTTAAGGGTATTGGGGACTTCAGGGAAACTGATTAGGGTCCTTAAGAGTAATTATGACAGAAATGACTGTTAATGGATGCTTAATAATAGAAGTATCCTAGAATTTAGGAGGAATATTTTTGAATGATGTAGGGGTCTGTACCAGAGACTATGGGGACAATGTTGTCCGTGACCCCAACCAACTCTAGGCCATTACAGGACAGAACATTGCAGGACAAGCATTCCTAAGAATCACTGTATTATCACAGAGACTTAAATGGGCCTGAAATTTAGACATGATATCTCTACCTAGGAGAGGAATGTGCAGCTATGCAGGACAATAAATGAATGAGTGAAAGGATATTTGTTTATCATACATGACGTTTTTTATAGTTACTCATGAAGCTTTTCAATGCAATGGTGTGAGCATTAGGTAGTTGAGTTACATCAAAGTGGAGAAATCTCTGCTACAGATTTCATATGTAATCTGCTGACACTTTTAGCTTCTAGTTAGTGGTACCTAGTAACCTTTCAATATGACTCAAAAGGTCTCATATGATAGTCACAAGGGCTGTTAGGTCAGATAAAGAGACAATGATTGCTTATTAAAGGAAATATAGACTTCTTTAGACTATTGAGTCTTGTCATATACTGGAGAGATTCCTTCCACTAATTTTCCAAGTTGAACACATTTTGAAAACTTAATATGACAGAGATGCTATATGTTGTATAATATATATTATGTAATATAATATAGATATAGTATTATTATGACATGACAAATAGGTAAGCTTTTGTTTTTAGCTTTGGAACCAGATGGCAATCTGAGAGATTAATGTGCTCTGACACTCATTTTTATATATACTAGATTTATTTATCATTTCCTTCACAGACATCAGTTAAAACCTAAAGTTCATAAGACAATTTGATAAGTGGGCATGGTTTTTTCATTTTTAATTAAAGTTAATAATACAACTAATGAAGTAATGAAACACAACACAGAAAAGATATCAGAAGGAGCCACTTGGCCATTTTCTATCATAGGCCCCTTGAACACTGTTGAGTCCTTGGAAACTTTAGGTAGACATCTCAAAAATCCTTGTTATAACCACAGGAAATTTTGGATTTTTTTAAGGCAAAGTAAATTCATCTTCAGATATAAGGAAAGGCTTGGCTGCTTAAGGGAAACATGTAAGAAATAAAAATCAAACCACTGCACAAAAACAAAATGGCCGCTAGAAATGCCACTCCCATGGCAACTCCAACTTTCTGACTATGTGGGTAAAAGGGTAAATGGAAAGATGGTGGAAAGCCAATTCCCTCCTTGCTCACAATGGAAAAATAATTGCACAAGACAGTAAGGAAGACAAAGCTACTGGCAATGATATTCAAAATTGCTGAAGTGCTGAAGGCATTGTAGATGACATTCTCCTCTTGTCTTCCCATGTACACATTTCTAAGAGCAACAGTGGTGGCTACTTTTCCAATCAGCCATAAAATGCTGGTGATCAGGAGCAAGTTTTGAGAAACACGAATTTCCAAAGGAATGAAGTTGTCATGGTAGCTGTATTGGTGACACATTTTAATATTGCTGGAGTTGTCCTGGTGGTAGATGCAGACTTTCCAAACTCCTACAAAGGCCACACTAGGGTAAGAGATCGTGGATTCATTCAAGTACCACACTCGCCATTGTGGGAGGCCCATGGAGATGATGCAAAGAATCCATGCTGTGGTGGACACAGCAAAACCTCCTGCCTGGTGATAGGAACCGTTGCTCATGATGACAGTGAACACTGGACAACTGCAAAGAAATACAAAACAACATAAGAACAAGCTCCTCAAGCCTGGGACACTGTCTGTTGGGCGACTAGTAACAGAAGGAGTATTTATTTGTATGAGAAAATGGACCTTTGTTCTAGAAATTGCTATTGGAATATAAGCAAATTAAGTGAAGAAATATTTGGGAAAATTTACTGTGACTTGACAATGAATTCTAACTGTTCCATTTTTGACTGTTGGTCCAGTACAATGAGGTTTGGATACATATATTCAGTCACAAAGATGACCAGTTTGTAGTTTTGGGGGAGTGTCAAGGCCAGCATAACATACATCTCAAGTTCCAGGCTCAGGGAGGTAAAGGCACTGGCTGCTCTTCCAGAGGTACTGGGTTCAATTCCCAGCACCCACTTGGCAGTTCACAACCATCTATAGTGGTATCTGATGTCTTCTTCTGACATAAAATTATACAAGCAGATAGAGCACTCATATATATATATATATATATATATATATATAATAAATAATTGTAAAAAAATCTAATATGGAAGGCAATAAATGATGAATAAACTATCAATTAATAAATTAATGATAAAAGTAATAGAAAATCAAGTGATTCTAGTAAGCATATATAGTTTACTGCTCAGTGTACATTACTTTGAAGCAAATCAATTCACTAAAATATTTGGCACACGTCAAAAGAGGACAATTTGGAACCTAAGAAAATGTTCACCAGAAAGCAAATCTAAAATGCATAGGAGGGGGCTGGAGAGATGGCTCAGAGGTTAAGAGCATTGCCTGCTCTTCCAAAGGTCCTGAGTTCAATTCCCAGCAACCACATGGTGGCTCACAACCATCTGTAATGAGGTCTGGTGTCCTCTACTGGCCTGCAGGCATACACACAGACAAAATGTATACTAAATAAATAAATAAACAAATAAATAAATAAATAAAATGCATAGGAACCAGTAAGCATGTTTGTATGCTTTTGCACTATCCTAGAGCTACATAGGGATAAATGGCAGCTGTGGGCTCAGAAGAATGAAGGGCAAATGAGAGAAGACATCCAGCTTAGTTTATAGAGAGCACAGGGCTCTGGAGGTTCTAGTGGTGGCATCATAGACGGGAGCACGGAGGGGAAGAGTGGGACAGGCTGATCCCTAAAATTATAATTAGCAGGGCTGTGTTTAAAGCCGTACGTCACTACCCTTGGCATAAGGAAGACATTTTTTTGCTATGGTTTGTTTAATCTGAGTTATGACCTTATTATGTAGACCATTCTGGCTTCAAACTCAGTATGTAGCCCAGATTTAAACTGGTGTGACTGACCACAAATTCATTGTGAGACAGACTGGACTTTAAATGATGTTCCTCATGCTCCTGGGTACCATGTTGCATTTATGAGATTACTATTTAGAAGATAGTGAATAATAATACTTGAATTCAATTTCTGAGCTCCTTTTGCTGTCAAGGGATAAGTGAAATGAAGGACTGCACTCTCTATCCCTAGTGTAGAAGCCCCACCAGAGAAGTCATATTATCCTCAACTGGCATCAACAGCTTCAATAAACTAGCTCTTTTTTCCAGGCCCATCTCTATTGTCAAAGCACTACAATAATCGAAAGTTCCAGGAATTAGATGCCCACTTGTGTCAGAAAGAGAAGTGAGGGAGCAGAAGAAGGGATACCACTCTGTACCCTGTGTGTGAGTCGGGGTAGAAGAACCAGGAGAGCTGCTAAGAACATGATAGATATCACACAAACATAAGAGGAATCCTGGGTGGCTTTTTAATGTATTTAAAAAGGGAAGACCTTTTATGGGAAGAGGTCTTTCCCAAGTGATGGGGATGCCCAAGTTGTACAGGTTGTGTAGCAGTGAATCACTGAAGGAGGCAGGAGTGGGGTCTGATGTGGAATTCCCATCTGTATGCTGTGAATACCATTGGTTAATAAAGGACTGCTTTGGACCTATAGCAAGGCAGAACTTAAATAGGCAGGGAAAACTGAACTGAATGCTGGGAGAAGGGCAGAGTCAGAGAGAAGCCATGTAGACCCAGGGATGGAACTTTACCCGGTAAGCCACAGCCATGTGGCAATACACAGATTACTAGAAATGGGTTAAATTCAGAAGTAAGACTTAGCCAATAAGAAGCTAGAGCTATCTAATACATCCCAGGCTCACCTGTACAGTGATGGTGTGCTCCCAAGGGACTGAACCGTCTTACACCAATTCACCATTTAAAACTGGCCTTGAGACAAATTCTTAAGCCAAACTCATGAAGGCTGCTCCTGATCTGAGATTGTATGATCTGATCAAGTATGTGTTTATGTATGTCAAGTTGATGCCTGAAGCTAAACTGAACATGCATTAAAAAAAAAAAAAAGAAGCTAGAGCTAATGGGCCAAGCAGTGATTTAATTAATACAGTATCTGTGTGGTTATTTTGGGGCTAAGCGGCTGGGAACAAACTAGTGGTGTCCTTACTACAGGGGTCAAAGAAAACAGTCATGGAATTGATCCAACCATCATAGACAGAGAAAGTCACACACCAGAACATTGCACATAAACAGGTGTTTATTTACACATATGTGCAAACAGAGAGAAACAGCCACACTCTCACACATTAATACTTATAAACATAGACACATGTGTGTATGTACATGGACTGACAAAGAAGGCTATAGATCCTCTATAAGGTGTCAATATTGCAAAATCATACTATTTGATGTTCTGCCTGCTGTACATTGAGAACACACGATGCTTTGTAGGCTTGAGAATTTGCATGAATAAATCAAAAGGTCTGGCACCTGCAGCCCTTCATGGAGTCAGGTTCTGTGAGCTGAAGGATCAAGACAGCTGTTCTTTGGGCCACATTTCCTGACCATTCACTCATATTCAGATAGAGAACATAAGACACAGAATGTAGCAACAGAGTGAGGACGAAATAACACAGAAAGACAGAGAGATGCTCCGATAGAGGTAGGGAGACAGAGAATGGTGCTAATGCATGACATCATGACAGAGAATAGGCCACACTATGTGTCACTAGCTTGAATGAAGGTCCCCACTCAAAATTCAAAGCCTAGTTTCTACAGAGCTTGTTTCGTCTTTCACATTATTGTGATGTTGAGTAATAAACCATTAAATCGAACCATCATAACTCACACTTCAATTGTTGCTCACCTTTCCATAGATCAAAATACTTGAGAGAGTAACTTAAAAAGGAATTATTTAGTTTGGATCAGATTTCAGAGAGTTGAGTCTATTGCCCTTGGCTTTCTGGATTCCGCCAGCGCTGCTACCTATGTCCTAACTACTTAAGTGTTAAGAACATCCCATAACACTTCCACCAGCTAGGAACCAAATATTTAACACATGAGATTTTGGGGATTCAGATCACATCAAAATCTAATATCACCACAGAAGATCACACTGTGGGATTGCACTAAAGCAATCCCTGGTGTGATCAACTCCACAGAGACAGAAAGCAGAATGGTGGTTGCTAGGAGCTGGGGCAGTCAGAAGTAGGAGATGACATTCAATGAGGACAGCATTTCTGTTGGGGAAGACGGGAAGTCATAGCCACTCCATGGCGCTGTGAATGTATTTACAGCCACAGTTCTGTACACTTAGCCAGTCGGTGATGAATTGTGATATGTATATTTAGCCATATTGCTTAGAGTATACACCAAAAACAGATGGAGCCTCTACTAACCAGCAGTGCTGTCTTCACGTGACCAGTTACCAGCTATGTGGCAAAACAAGCAGCTATCTGGGCCATCGGGGATGATGAGGACACAGCTTTCTTAATATGTCCTTTGGTGCCCTTTGTTGCTGGCAACACAACTGGCTTGTTTTATAGTTCTGAGAATTCTACTATGTCATCAAATTCCAACCCTCAGAGCCCCCACTACCTGCTTTCAGGCACCAATGTATGAAGATCATGATAGTATTTGAGGGCACATTCCAGCACTGTCATATATGCTTTCTTTGTCATATATCGTCCTGTTTCGTGTAGCATGAGTTGTATATACCAGTGGCCTTTTCTGACCCATCTGAGTAATTCAGGCCTGTCTGACATCCTTTTCTTGATTTCTTCCCTTTGAGGAATAGTTTCTCAGGCCAGTCTTAAAGAAGTCATTGCCATATTTAGAAGTAGGTGCTAGCAGAGATGACAAAAACATACTAGGAAAGATCCTGGTTAGTTCATCAGGGATATGCACAAAGATCCAGTTTTTTTTCGAGACAGGATTTCTCCGTGGCTCTTGGTTCCTGTCCTGGAACTAGCTCTTCTAGACCAGGCTGGCCTCGAACTCACAGAGAAAGATCCAGGTTTGTAAAACAGTCAATGAGGTTATAGCTGGAATGAAAAGGAAACCCTCCTAAAACACATTGATGGATGAGGCACAGGTGGTGACCACTGTAGATCCTCACAGTGGAATACTACACAGCCACACCAATTATGTCAAATTACATTGAAGGAAACTTCCCAACTATGCTTATTAAAAAGAATATTTCAAAAAGTATCACTTGCCTAAATCCTATTTCTATTTGAAAAAAGGAAAAGTAAGAGATGGAGGCCGAAAATGACTTCAGAGAAGGAGGGAAAGGATGGAATTGGTTGCAATATGGTGGTTTTCCTTGTCTTTTTTTTCTTGTTTTTGAGACAATTTCACTATGCAGTCATGGTCAACTTGAACTTCTAATTCTCTAACCTCTGACCTCAGAGACCTGAGATTTCAGACATGTGCCACCACGCACTTCCTAAGCCCACATAGGAGTCTAATATAATGACTGTGTCTAACTGTAAGATTGAAAATGCTTTATTGTTTCTTTAATGTTTTGTAATGTATCAGTTTATATGTTTATGCTGACTAATGGGTGTCTTTAGAAACAGAAAAAACACACTGGTATGAATTTTCCTTCAGTATGTAGATCATTATGTAAATGTTCAGACAGCCAGATACCCTGGGCAGATTGCCCTGAAAATAAGAAGGGCAACTAACAACATGCAGAATTTAGATAC